AGTGGCGTAGCGAGGGGGGGCTGGGGGGAGCTTCAGCCCCCCAAGTTTGGTTCAAGCCCCCCCAACTCTGGTCGAAATGCGTCCGCCCCAACCTGACAAGGCGAAGTTAGCCCCCCCAACGTTCCGCTTAGCCCCCAATTAGCCCCCCCAACTTTCCGCTTAGCCGGAAACCTGGCGAAAACCTGGCTACGCCACTGCATAGGGGTGAGGATTTCGCGGTGGACTGAGAGCTTCGCGCACTTGTCGAGTCCGAATTTCATGCAGATGTCTTTGGAGAAGATGCTGACGACGTCGAGCTGTTCCTCGTTTTGTTGCTCGTGCGACGTTTTTCGAGCTGTTGCTCGTTCGATGCGTATAGTTTCAGGTCGTCCATGTAGATAAGGTGGTTCATGTGATGGTCTGCATTCTATCCCTTACCTACGTAGTAACCAGTCAGTTCGAGCCAGCTCGGTACTGAGAGGGTTGATAGCCAGACAGAAGAGGAGAGGAGACAACGTGTCTCCCTGGAAGGTCCCATGTCTAATGGAAATCTCGCGGGTTGTCAGGGTGGAGTCTTGTCCCTTGAGGAACATGACCGTTTTCCAGCGTGGCATGGTCTGTCGAAGGAAGTCGACCACCATAGGGCTGATGTTGTACATCCCGAGGCATTCGATGATCCATGAATGGGGCACCGAGTCGAACGCCTTCTGGTAGTCAATCCATGCCATAGAGAGGTTCTTCTTCCCAATTCTGGCATCATCCATGATCATACGATTCAGTAAGAGCTGTTCCTTGCAGCCGTACGATCTTTTTCGACACCCCTTTTGCTCCTCCGACATGATGTTGTGGTCAGAGATGTGTCGTTCGATTTGTGCTGCTAGGATGGAAGACAGCACTTTGTAGATGGTTGGGAGGCAGGTGATCGGCCTGTAATTCCGAGGTATCTCGGTTTCGGCCTTTTTCAGCAGGAGGTAGGTGACTCCTGTGGTGAGCCAATCCGGCATCTCCGAGGGGTTCCTCACTACTCTCTGCATTGCTCTGACGAGTTGTTCAGGAAGCGATGTTAATTGCTCTAGCCAGAAGTTCGGAAGACGGTAGTGTCCCGTGCTCTTCCAATTTGCTGTTTGTTTGAGTGCCTTCTTCAGATCAGATGGTGTAATCTGGAGGTCACTCATTTCGGGAGTATCTATTAGCTCCTTCTGGCGTCGAAGCCAAGTGGCATCGATGTTGTGGTTCATCGGACATATAATGATGTTTTACCAGAATTCTTCCAGTTCCGCCTCGCCAGGGATTTTCTTCACTTTTATGGGTTTTGCTCCCAATTCCCAGTAGAATAGCTTCTGATTGTTTGTGAAGCGCTCATTGTGCCGGAAGTAATTGACCCTTTTTGTGTACTGCCTTATCCTCAGGGCCCAAGCTTGGATCTTTATCTTCATGTTTTCTATGGCAGTCGGGAAATCGGAATCGGAGGTGATCTTGTATTTGGGGCGCAGACGTTTGTAGGTCAACTTAACTTTCTGGGTTGTGTTTCCCTTCTTGATCTCTTGGAAGGTGCTGAGGTCTCGCCTTGCTGCATCGATCCGATTGTGGAAACGCCTCTTCCAAGGTGGAATCGAGGAAGGGCGCTTCTCAGGTATCGGGGTTGCCTTTTCTGGTCGTTGCCATTTCTGGTGAAAGGTAATGGCAGCTGCGAAGGCACGGTGGTTCAGCTCAGTCAGATCGCAGTCTGCAAGATCGTAAGAACTGATGATCTTGTTGATTTCCTCGATGTCTTTGGAAATGGCGCGGCTGAGCTTTAGTGGTCTTAGTCGGGGTCGATCAGACATCTGTATGTATCGCATACTTCTAGATGATTGAGGAAGGTGGTTCTCAGTCCTTCTGATAACACATCTGACTCTGAAGGTGGCTCAAGAGTCCTTGGTGGAACCGAAGTTCCTTCAACTGAAGTTTCTTCAGATATTTTCCCATCTTTTTTGGGTACACTTGAATTTGATGTGGTAGGCCGGAGGGGGTGTTCAAGACTTTCTGTTTGGTGTCCAGTTCTGAGAGCAAGTTATTTCTCTCGATCACACGTCGCTGGTCGGCTATTCGGTGACATTCAGCTCTGGATGAGTTACATTCCAGAGATCGAGCATTTTCTTTCGGTACGCTCCTGGCACATCGAACTGTGCGTGGTAGTAGGCCCGCATGACATCAGTGTTCATGGACTTCGTCCATTTCATACGTTTCTTTGGGGAGGGGGGGGGGGCATATTTCCTGTACTAGGGGAGGATCGCATATCAATCCCGGCCCCTGGGACGGGGATAGTGACTTCACCAGTACCCCTTACTCTCAATTCTGCCTTTTGATGAACAGGGGTGTGAGAGTCTCCGGACGCTAATTTTTCACTGACTGCACCGGTAGACCTACAGCCAATGCGGCCCTTTTTATCCTGGGCGACAGCCGAGCCAGTCGCTTTCTGAGTTGTGGCATCATGCAAGCATGAGGTTGAGGATCTGGCAGGAGAGGCACAGGGCCACAGCTGTCTTTCACACAGGGTGTACATGGTGATCCTCTGATCCATAGGGCACCACGGTCGTTGGACTTGGGGGAGTCTTATCTACCCTTATCAGTGAAGTGCCCAGCACCGTTGGCTACAGTTTTTTCAGCATCATGTCCAGGACGTTATTATTATTATTATTTCCCTGATTTTAATAAGAAATTATTGAAACTTGAAAATTCTATTATGCATGTTGCCTGCTTGGACTGTAATATTAGAATTTACATGAGTTATTGCCTCCAATTCCACTGTATAATCTGTGACTGATTTTACTTGATATACTGTGTAGGGACACATTTTTGCACATCCAATATTGCATATCTTAAATGTTGACTTTTCAAGTTAAGTTAAAGTGTTTAATTTTGTCATCTTGATCACCTTGTATTTAATGCAGCAGCAAATACTGGGTGTCCCAAAAAGTGTGGCAATATTTAAAAAATTAATATCTCTCTAACTTATGCCTCAAATAAAATTATTACAACAGTAAAATGAAGTACAACTCAAATATTTAAAAACCTGTTATTGCAATTCCAAATGGGGACTATTCGTGGCTCTGAAGATGTCCCAATGATGTTCGAGCTCTTGCCACAACTTATGCAGTGTGTCATGAGTAACTGTCTGGATAGCTGCAACAATTTTGTTCTTCAAATCTTGGAGATAGTCAACTTTTCTTGAGTAAGTGATGTTCTTGACATAGCCCCACAAGAAAAAATCCAAGAGGGATGAGTTCAGGCACAATAAAAGTCTAATATTCCAAGATGTTGCACCTCCTCATATTAGCAAACTTATGCATAAAAAAAAATCCAGATCTGTGGATTGGACAAAGTGGGTCCATTCCATGACTACCAAGATCACCTGAACTAACCCTTGAGGACTTTTTCTTGTGGGCTATGCCAGAGACATTGCTTACTTGAGAAAAGTGGACAATCGATGAAGATCTAAAGAACAGAATTGTCCTAGCTATCCAGACAGTTATGCCTGACACTTTGCATAAGACATGGCGAGAGCTCGTACATCACTTAGACATATATAGAATCACAAATGGTGCCCATGTGCAATTGCAATAACAGGTTGGAAAATGTTTAAGTTGCACTTAATTTTACCGTTTTAACCATTTAATTTGAGGCATAACTTGGAGAGATATTGTTTTTTTCTATGTTTCCATAACATGGGGACACCCTGTATTTGTGCCAATTTAATTGCACAATTCTTTGTGCCTCACAAAATTTGCAAAAGTAAAATGAGTGTGAAACTTTTTCACTGCTTAATATGTTATATCAATGCATTAGCTACAGTAAGTCATGCATGTTTCTTGATTATTGACAAATGCTTTTATAGGTACCTTTGCATGTTCATTATCAAGGTATTTTTTATTTATTCGAAGGAGAGGAGGAAAAATGTTATGGATTTCATTTTTAATCCATGTGAACAGTGCTTTTATTGCTTATTGTGGAGGGAATGATTTTGTGTTGCTGTATATTGCTGCCACCCAAAGGAAGGAAGCTAAAGGATGAGAATGAGGGTTTTTATTCCTATTTGTTCAAACTTGCTCTGAAAATTTAGTAGTACTTGGATTCCCATAGAAAGTATGCTTCTACTCTTTCTTGGAGCTGCTCCACTAGAGGATTTACCTTTGGCAGAGAGATTGAGAGACACATAAGAAAAAAGTCAGACCAGTGTTTATATAAATATGATAAAAAATTATGGAAGAGGAAGTTATTGCACAAAATCTTGGAGAGTGGTTGAACATGGGTTGAAGTGGTTGAAGTGATTAGGTTCAAAATGACCTACTGCCTTATTGAGTGGCCAGACCTTATTACAACTATTATAACTCTTAAGTGGACTCCAAATTTTGCTGTCCTTGGGAATTGTATTGCAGTTTGAGGGAGATTTGGTGTAGAAGTGCAGATATTGTTCAGAAGGACCCAGTCCTTGCTGATGATTGATCAGAAAGGAAAGGGTCAAAGCACAAGTGACTCCCAGTGCAATCTGCACTGGGATTGCACTGGGGGCCAAGCACTTGTGATAGGAATGGAGTTCAGGGTTGGACAAGACTCGGAGAAAATGTTAAGATGGGATGGGAACATTAAAAGTGGCAGGCATGAACAGGATAGATGACATTGTTGTGCCCTACTTGATGGCAGCTATCAACTTTTCAAGTGGAACCAAGGGACTTGATTGTCCCTTGATTCCATTCGGGAAGGGAAGATGACTCACAATCTTCTGTTCAGCCTTTGCTGGCCATAAAAATAACTTCAACAACTTAGGCCCAAATGCTGAAACCTCCATTAGTTAATGGTTCTTCAAGAATACATGGACTCCTTGAGGGGGAAAGGGGAGCTCTTTAGCTTAAAGGCCCATTTATTTCCCCTAAATGAGGTTTGTGCACTTGGAGCCTTAGTCTTCTAATGCTGATTTGGGTATTTTACAGCCATATACAGAGATGCCACTCAAACATTGATGGGAATCCTTTGGTTTGATCATGTGCAGGAAACTTCTGGATTTGGAAATGAACCCTCTTGGTTTTGATGCAGAGGAGATGTATCATTTTCTTCTTCTTCGATTTACCAGAACTCCAGCTCCAGTTCAGGACCAGGCACTCTCCTGGATTCAGGTAGGACTTCATCAATGATGATAGGACAAAAAATGATACTGAAGATGGGAGAAAGACTTTGTTTAATTCTTTTACTTCAGATCCTGTCCAAGTTGGATCTTGGGATCCCAATCCATTTTCTGCTGAAGATATTCCATAATGGAGTGAAGGCATTAGGACCTGAATCCACTCAGGAAGTGTCCTGTTGGTCTATTTTTCCTCTTTGCCATACCTCTCCATATTGCCCAGCTCATTAGTTTTTTTTTTCTCCTCGAATTTAGTGAGGCTGATACAACAACAAGGAAGTGCACCATTGACTCCAGTGACTCTGCCTGGTTCATCAGGGCCTCAGTTGGGCCACCTAGATGAAAATGAAATCTGGCTCGGCTGTTTCTTGAAAATGCTTGATGTATTGTTGAAACAAGTGAGCTGACACATCTTCATTTTGGTGATATTATAGCCAACTCACATGTGATCCTCTTACTTCATTTTTAAATTTGTTTTTTCCCCAGATGGAAATTTTGGAAGTGAAGCATCATCAGGGGTTGGACACATTTCCTGGGCCCCAAGTTCTCTCTTTATTGCATCTCATGCATCAAGTGAGATTTTATTGAATAATTTTTTCAATGGAGAAAAGAAGAGTTGTTGAGTGTTATCCCCTTTCATTTACATAAGATTCCATGGCCTGGAGACCACACCTGCACTGAGCAGGCAGAGAGAGAAGAACGTCGCCATCATCGGCTTGCACGAAAGGGTCCAGAGGATGAAGTTGAAGACATGACACCTCAAGTGATGGATTGCACCCTGTGCTTTCTGACTGATATCTGGTATCAGCTGGCCAGAGACTTACTTTTATATCTCATCCCACAACCCATACCTGAACAAAATGAGGTTAGTTTCTTTCACTTGTTGGCATGAAAATGGATGAGTTTAACTTGGAATGCCTGTAATGAACAAGACTTCTCGTTTTCCAGTTGTTGGATGATGAGCTGGTCCATTCAACAACAGAAGCTTTAAAGCCCCTTTCAAGTGAAGGTGGTGGAGAGGCAGTTCAAAAGTCAAGCGAGATGAAGCCATCTGATGTGGTCATTACTCTTGGAGAACCTTCTACATATTATTCAGGGATTGCAACTGTTCCACTTTTGCCGCACATTCAAACTGCCACAGTGGAGACAGTCCAGGAAGATATTGCCCCAATGATCCCCCAGGAGCGGGCTGTCACTGCAACTGCAAGAGCCATCACCATCACTGATGATGATGTTGGTCAGTACTCACCATGAAAATTTATGCTTCTCATATTTAACCGTTTGAACACTGTGCAGCCACTTCAGTGGCCACAAGATGATATACTAAAATATTGCATTGGAGAGCATGGTGTCCAAAGGATTAAGGATTGGGTGATTCTTCTTAGCAACGGCCAAAGTGGAAGTCGCATCTGCAATTGTGGTGAATGAGAATGATGAACCAGTGCCTGTTGGGAGTGAAGAGAGTGATCATCAGTCTCGGGAACAGTTTTGGATCACATCTGTTGGAAAATTCAAATTCTCCCTCACTGAACTCCCTTGTCAGCTACAACTCATATACCATATGCTGATTGTAAGTCATTTCTAGAAATGGATGAATGTTTTTCATTGCATCTTTCCATTCATTGCTGACTATTTTCATGCTTATCCTGTTTCTGTGGCAGCATTTACCAGATCACCATGATGCTGATGTGGTCTATCACCTGCTCATGTCCCTCAAGCATCTCATCATTCATGCTGATAGCCTTGGTATGGCTGCCAAAGAGCATCGAGGTTTCCTCATTTGGACCCAGGAGAACCTTACTATTCATAAGTAGGTTCCATCCTCCCGTTGAATTTTAATTAGCCTCTGGTATTCATTTGTGATTTCTCTACCCCTTGGTTTTCCTTAGCATGTGGCAGTTGTGCCAGACTCGTTACTCCCATGTTGCTGAGGTTGCTGTGCAGGTTCTCCTTCATTGCCTAGCACTCCCAGGTGGAAGTGAAGTTTTCCATCAGATCCTTCAACATGAGTTCCACAGTGAGGATTGGCATGCACGATATGCTGCAGGTATCTCTGTTTTTCCTACTTTTCTCTGAGTCACTCTGTATTCCTAAAAGAAGGGATGAAAATGCAATGGTATTCATACCATTATGAGCAGGGATGACCCCTATCTGACAAGAATTCCTAGCCCATTCTATGTGGGTCATCCAAAAAGTCTTAAGTATTAGTTCATAGGTCACCTATTTCTCAATATATTCTTATGAAATTTTCAGGAAATGTTATAAGAATGATACCTACTCAACATACATGCTATTTAAAAAAAAACTGTCAAATAATTTTTGCATTAATGGCAGTAAATTTTATCAGATCAGCTTAATTTTTTAAACACTGCATGTAGTTAGAGGAATGAGGTTATGTGCCAAATTTTATTAAAATTGACACATTGTATAGTTCAAAATTTGCAAAAACCATCTTTCATCTATTCACATGCAGTTTATGAAATATTGGGCCGATTGTATAAATTTACTAACATTCCGAGAAAAAAAAAACAAATTGGCACGTTTTTTTTAGAGCTTGTATGGCACACTTTTTTACATGTCAAATTTAAAATGGCATAGAACATGATACAATGGGTCAATTTTCTTGAAATTTGGCACATACCTTCTTTCCTCTATCTACATACAGTGTTTAAAAAATTAAGTTGATCTGATAAATTTACAGTCATTAATAGCAAAAATTATTTGGCACAGTTTTTTTTTAACACCATATAGTTGTCACTGTGCTTGATGCTCTTCTTCCACTGTGGCACCAGACCACTGACAGGAGGATGTAGTCATTTTTCGCCAGGTCCATGAGTACCATTCCAGAGTGGCCCTTCACTATTTGTTGACAAAACCTGCTTGCAGCTATGAAACCTGGGCCTACTAGTTTGAGTCCAAATTGAAGAGACTGAGTGCAGAATGGCTAAGTCCAGGAATATCATGACCACAGAATATGAAAGTGGCAAAGGCCTTCTTGAAGGTGACACACATCATGTTCTTTGGCTGCATGGTGTCATCCATGGCCACACAGTACCCTCCAACAAATCTGTCAATGGAGACTACTACCTTGATGTCCTCTGCAATTTTATCCAACCAGCCATATGCAAGAAACACCCTCACTTGCTGCAGACAGGTGTCATTCTGTTGCAAGAAAATTTGACTTCTCATCAGAAGTGTGATGTCCTAGAGACCTTGGTTGACTAGGACTGGGTGGTGCTCACTCATCCAACTTACTCACCAGATCTATTGACTTGTGACTTCATCCTTCTCCCCAAAGTAAAAGAGGGCCTGCATGGATGATGGTTTGAGGATGCTGACACCATCAACAAGGCTTACAAAGTATTGCTACTGGACCTGGCCAAGGAAGAACTGCATCCTGGCATCAGTGGTCTGGCACCACAGTGAAAGAAGTGCATTGAGCTCAGTAGCAACTACTCTGAGTAGGCATTATTCCTACAAACATTTCATGAAAATTTCATGAGATTATGTTGAGAAAGAAATGACTTACAAGCCAATACATAAAACATTTCAGATGACCGACATTTGTTTGAGCCCAGTGTGAACCAATTGAAATTCATTATAGCAATAACAATGCATGTGCATGAAATCTTACGATGGCCTCACATTCCTTTGTCATTAGGAAGTAATTGCCTATAAATATATTGGACTTTTTGACCTTGGTAAAAATGATTGAGGGGAATCTGATAAAACTGAAATGGAAATTCAGAGCTAAATGAAGTGTTTTGTGAAAGTAGGGAAATGCCTCAAAGAAACTTGTGGTAAATAGTGTGGTGCTGTTTTTGGAGGAAATATTCCAGACCACTTGATGCTGGACAGGCACAAAACAGTTCTGAAAAGAGTGGTCATTAGGAAGGATCCATGGCCAGGTTGGCCTTTAATATACATGGAAGAAAGAGGAAATTTGTAAGAAATTCTTCAGAAAAGACAGAAAGTGAAATTCATGAGCTCTCTGACAACATGAATTCATTGTATGGTGGCATGCTGACAGTTTCATTCAGGTTCCACTCCTCAGTTGATTTTGATGATTGATATGACCCTGGATCACTCTGCTGTAGGTCTTATTTTCTGTGAATCATTTTCATCTCTCAAATGCCTTCAAGATTCCTGGAACATGGCACATTTGCCCATTTCCATGCCTAATATGAGGGCACTCCATATTTTTAAGGTGGTTAACTGCCAAGTGCATCACCTGTGATACATTTTGCATGTTGAGAATTCTGCTTGGAAGCCAACATGTTAAAAGAAATCATTTTTGGTTCATGGTTCATGTAAAGTTCCATCAGTGTAAATATGGAAGAATCTAAGTCAACAATGATTTCAAGCAAATTGATTGAATTTGCACTTCACTTTGCCTCTCATCCCATCCAGTACTGGCATACTATATATTACTGGAATATCAGAGATGAGGTGTTGCATGCTAAAAATGGGTAAAAATGATATATGATTTTAAATTGTATTTTGTTTCATCTTGAATTGTTTTTCATCCAGTGGAAAGTGTAGTAGTCCTGGGTTGGTTCATGGAAACATCTACTGTCCGTAGCAGTGGGAATATCCAATCTTCACTTGCTACTGCCTTTTGCTTCCTTGTGGCTTCACTCTCTGATCCATGTTATACTGTTGCCACAAGGACTAGTGTCTATCTTGACACTTTCACTGATGCTTCTCTTAAGGTAATCAATGCTTTCCCTGTGTTCCTCTTTGTCACAGATTAGTCACCATTGAAGTATCTTGCGGTACCTTTGTGTACTTTTCAGTTGTTATGTTGGTGCATGGAAGTGCAGTTTGACTTGGTGATCATGGATCGACCAATGGTGCTGCAAACCCTCTATCGTCTCTCAACAGCCCTCCCTCACCGGAACATTCTAACTTGGGACTTCTTCCTCAATCGTTTTGATGCTCTGTTTTTGGAGGCTCAGATTCAGCTTGAACGGGTTGGAGAAGTCCCCTTTCCTAGAGGTTTGAATCCTCTCTTGTAATAGTTCTAATACTTCAGATAACACCATCCAAACATTTTATCATTGTCCAGAAGAGAATACCAAAGTGCTTCCTTTCACTTGATAGACTTGAAGAACAATCAGATTGGAAGTAAAGTTCTGCAGAGGAAACTAAGTCGTGCTCAGGAGGCTTTGAATATTGCTTCAAGTGATTCAAGCAGTATTCGTACTTTGGCCTCCAGTTTGGGCACTAAATGGCCCTACAAACGTACTATGTCAGCACCCTGTGCAATGATGGATCGGTATGCTTCTTCTATTCAAGATCCCAAAGGTATGACATATAGACTTCTATCTGCCACATCTCAATGGGGGAGCAATATTGATATGAGAAATGATATGAGTTTTCCAATATAGATCGACCATATGGACGTCAAGCATCAGCCCCATTAATGTCAAAGCGCAAGGGGTCAAGGTTTTGGCCTGGTCAGTTCCTTGCTGGCATGGGACTACCCAACAACTTTACTGAAAGTTTGTACTCCTCTTTTGTTTGCACTGCAATTGACCCACTCTTCATTGAAGGCACTTATATGGGCATATCTCCTGCTTCCCTGTCAGGCAAGAATGAAGACATGACAGAAGCTCTGGTCTTACATCGAAGCTTGGAGCTGGATGAGACAGATCGAGAGACGCTTCATCTCCTCATATTTTTACTCATGCATTTTTTAGCCCATAAGGCTGAGGTAGGTTTACTGCACTTTTCCCCATTCTTTCTTGGCTGGAATTTCTCAAGAAAATGAGATTGTCAATAATTTTGCTTTCTTCTCTTGCTCTCATGCAATAGGGTCTACTGAGAGAGGGTAAAGAAATCCCAAAACATCAAGGGATGGTCATCCAGCATCTGACATACTTCCTTGGATACTTGCCTTCTGAACGTTCCTTCATCACATCTCCATTTCGCATTAGGTCTTGCCTTTTGCATCAGTGCTGAGGAAGCATCCTTCCTTTAAGAAAAATTGACTCTTTTTTTTTCAATTGTCCAGCTGTCTCTGTGTGTGTGTGTGTGTCATGTGAAGCTTCTGTTAATTTTTACAGGAATGCTATGCTGCATATTTTACAAAATTTTTACACAAAAGACTAATGTTGGGAACTTTACGTCTGTTTGGTATTTGAAGCTTTTCATCCAATGAGAAATTCTAACTGGGTAAAACCATTATATTCAGACAGTACCTATGTTCAGATCCTTTTGTGTGCATTTGACTAAACTAAGCATTTACATGGTCACCTGCAGAAATGATTCTTCCTACTAAGAGTTAGACATGTTACTACATGAAAGACATGCAGTGACCATGATGATTTTCATGATCCCAAAAGTTTGAGCCTAAGCAAATGTTATGTCAGTCAGAAGAAATGTAAAAAAAAAATGGGAAGACAACCTTACTTGAGAAATGCTTCACACAAGGTCTTCTTGATTTCTGTGGTCAGTTCTAACTCCATAGGAAACTAAAGGATAAAGTACTTCTACATGAAATGCACATGTTATGAGCAGATTACTGCCTCCCTTCTGATGGATCCCAACTTGACCCTTTCTGGTTAAGTATCATCAGTTTATGGTTCCACTCAAATGTTGGACATTGTCCAATACAAAAGTTTGGCATAATGTGTACAATCAACCCTCGATATAGTGCCACCCAATATACTGCCACTCTCACTTAGCACCAACTCTTTCCTGAGAACAAATCTTTCCCATAGGCTTATCATTGACGCTCCTCCGTTATAGTGCCACCCTCGCAAGCCACCATCCACCAATACCTTGCCTTGCACAAACGTGCCTAATTCAATGTAAGTCATATTTGATATAGTGCCAAGCAACATACTGTACCAGCTGCAATGATTATACCATGCACTGCTGTGATGGAAAAAATGACATGCTGTCAGCCTTTCCTTTTTGATCATTTGATAACAAGATTGTGAGGGATGACTTAGCTTTGGCACGGACGCCAGGTATTAGAGGGGGGCATAAAGGGTCTCTTAATCTGACCTAATCCTGTCTCTCCTTTTCTTTCTTTTGGAGAATGGAAATGCCTCTTTCAGTTCAAAGTTCTCCAGACAATTGTTCAAGTGTGTTCATTATCCAATAATGGGGAAAAGGACAGTTATAAGTGTAAGGAAAAAAGTGGAAGTGTGTCGCTACAAGGAGGCACATGCGGCCAAAAGTCAGCAAAACATTGTGAATCATTTTTCTAAGCTGTGTAGTTTTTGTTCTCCATTGGCAGCATGGATGAATTAAAGTGGATTTTTTTTGTTGCTAATTCTATTTTACATTTGAGTTATTTTGAAATTTTCTGTTTTGAAGCCATGCATTTCGATGTAGCACCACCCACGATACCCACCAAAATTGGCATAGACCAACAGTGGCAGTATGTTGAGAGTTGACTATATGATATATGGTATACAATATATGGGATGACTTTTTTTAAATGCTCTACTATTTTCTATGGGATAAACAAAGTTTCATACATGGAAAAAAAATTTACATTGGCTATGCAATCAACATTGGATGGTTACAAGGTGCTGCAATGCATGTCAACTTTTTTTCAGCACCCCTCCGTCATGCAATGCCCATTTAGAGGTGACTTAAAGGTGCTTAGAGATGGATCATTCCACCTCAAGTGAGGTAATGATCTGTGCTCAACTGTCTCAGAATTCGATTAAATTTGGCAAGCAGTCTGATTATTTTGAGAATAGCCTGCTGAAAAAACAAACATATATCTGTACTTCAAATAGAGGCCAAGAAAAGTGAGTTTTAATTTGATCATGAGAGCACAAAATGTCCCCAACCTCCCAACCTACAATTATTATAATGTTACCACCCTATTTTGATTGGCTATAACTTTTCAAGAGACAGTTGGATGCAGCTGATACTTGACAGAGAGGTTCGTGAGTGTAAGAGATATTTTCACACCTGCAAGATGGCACTGTATGCCTATAGAGGGAGCTGTTGCTGATCAGAGGGCCCCTATCTTTGTACTACACCACTATTTAGGCAGGAAAACAAAACCTGTAAGGATTATCTTTTGAACCTTAGAACCTCACATGAGCCTCTCTGCCAAAAAATATATGTTTTATCTGAGAGCCCTTTCAGAAGATTTTGACTTGAAACCAATTTAAAAAATATGAATTTAGTCAAAATCAGTTTAAGACCCAAACAGGGCAAACAACTCCCTTTGAATTTTGAGATGATGGAATATGAACCATAACTGCATTTGAGGTGTAATGATCCACTTGTAAACTTTGTAAATGGACAATGCAGAGCTCAAAAAATTGTTCTGAGAAAAACCCAATCTTCTCAGCACCTTGTATATGTCCAATATCAAGAGTTTATGATATATGTGATTTATACAGGTATATGGTGAAATGTTAGTAATGTACTCTGATTTTCCTTGTGTATCCTAAGCATAAAAGTGAGTTTACTGCTTTAAAGTGACCTAGCATGGTTACCATCTGCACAAAAAATAGACCAGAAAGGTTAAAGTGTTCCAACTCAATTTTTTATGCTACTAAGTTTGACACCCACATAACAGGCACTGTAGGAATCTATACAAATTAAAAGGACAGCATGTTTATTGCACTCATATCTACTCATTATGCTTCTAGATGGCAAAAATGAAGCACTCAACTTTGCATTGTTTAGACATTAGTCAGGATGAATGAATTATAAGGCTGGGCTAACTTGACTACCCAAACATAGATACTTTTACCTTATTGCAGTAAAATGAAATTACTTTTTTGGAACAGAATATCTCTAACCATCAGCCAGGGTCATGCATGCCACCAGCCCAACATCCTGTTTTATTCTGCTCCTTCCCTTTCTTTGTATCCTGATAGTAACACCCATACATAAATGATGGTGTTCTCAATGGAAGCTACACAAACTAGACTACGCTTTGCTGAGCTTATTTATTATCCTGTAGATAGATTTGTGCATAATTTCATTTCCATGTACTTACTCCCATCTTACTTATATGTATAACTTTTCATTGCCTTGAGACAGAAATTCTCCAATATTCCAAGCATTTATCTCAAATCTTCCTGAATTGCTGGACAACAACATGGCATTTGGTGGAGACTTAGCCCCAATGATCCTGTCAGTGCTGGTGTTTGTCCCATCACCACAAAAGACTCCCAGTGAGAAGTATCCTCCTAATTACTCCCTCTGGCTACTGGATCCAACATCCCGCTACTCGTGGCTTCTTTCTGCACTTATCTTTCTCTACAAGGTATTAATCTCAATTGATTTCCACCAGCTTTTTGCCTGTATTTTCCATGACACCTGTATTTCCATTGGCTCATGTTGTGGATATATCCCTAGTATCAGTACCATGCAGAACCACTGTCTGGGCAAGTCCAAGTGATAGTACGTATAGTCTTGAATACTGTGGAAGGATTTTTCCACCGATGCAGGACCATCCCACATGGCTATTTCTCCTCTGCTTCTCAACCTTACATGGCCTTCAGTGCGTCTTTGCAATTTATTTGCTATACAATATATTTGTCCAAATATGAGCCTGCCCCTACCCCCCCCCCCCCCCACAGGTTCTTACATGGCAACATCTGTCCAACTCAACAGTTGCACTCTGGGTAACTTTCTATAAACTTCCAATGCTCTATTCCTTTCTCTCATCCATCCATTGTTTTGTACTCAGTGGCTGTTTCCTGAATCTTTCAAGGAAACCATTTACCAGTTCTCTGGAACCTACATGCAAGAAGAGTCTTTGAGAGTGATGAAATAGGTTAGGGATTTCAGGCAAATATGATGTGATGAACTTCTTTGCATGACCATTCAGAGCATTTCATGCAATCTTTCTTATCATCATATATCTTCATCAATGGTACCTTGAGAATTCCTTCACATGTCTTCCGCATGTCAGGTTTTGAAAAAGATATTCCCAAAGAAAACTATTAGCTCATTGTAATATACCATTTTCTTTCTCTTTAAGTTGACAGTATAGTTTGCATCTTTTCTGAATGGGATAATGAAAGTATTATGAATAAGATGATCAAGGTAGGCATGGGAAGCAAAAATAAGTGTATGCAGGATTATGCTATGAAGTTTTATATACAGGGTGTCAGGAAAAGGTGTCCCTAGTTGCCTATTGTTATAACTAGGAAGATATGGGATGTAGAAAAAAGTTGTTTGTGGTAAATGAAACCAATGAACTTTAAGTTTTTCCCACCAAGTGGCTCTGTGACGCATGACAATCTTTGCACATGCACAAGCAGATAACCCTGGAACCCTGAAGAACCATTGGATTAGCCAATAGGGGTCCCCATCCCTTAGTCCCCACAATCTCCAGATTTGACTGCTTTATTTATTTTTCTGGATTTGTCAAAATCCTTTTGTACACACCTAAATCTGACAACATGCAAACTCTGAAGGATAGAATTTGAGCAGCCCTCGACACTTTTGTCCCCTAAGATGCTGAGCATGACATGGGTAGAGATCAAATACTGATTGGAAATCTGGGGAGCCACCAATGGGACGTATGTAGAAGTGTACTGAAAGAAAAAATTGAGATAAGTAGCTTTCATTTACCATAAACCCCTTTTTTTTATCTCCTGTATTCTCTGAGTTATAACAATATGAAACTAGGGACACCTTTTTTGGACACCCTGTACTTTCCTTCTGTATCACCAAAGTTTAGATGTCTTGATTGAAATAAGCAACTGCTTGACTTGAAGGTTCTCACAAATTACAGCACTCCACGAACTCACATGACACATAGCAGCAACCAGCCAATGCAAGAAACTCATTTCAGCAACTTGTGTACATGATTTGATTATTTTGGTCATTATTACCCTCAGATCATGGCCATAGGTGAGGGTAGGGAGGTAAACATTCCTAAAAACCTAGAGTTTTGTCTCCTTGAATATTTCTGAATTGGCAATGCAGTCTGCCAGAGTTCTCTATGTTGTAGACCTATGTTGTGACTGAATTTTTTTTTCATATTGCCCATTATTCAAGAACTAGAGGCCATTGTTCTTAAATTTCTACATTCTGCATCTTGGGGATATTGAGTTTCCTTCTGGCCTTGGTACATTCAGAGTTGCACCAGTTCAACATCTCTGAGGCTCCTGTTGACTGGATCAAAGGGATAGCATCATTGACCAGGGGAGGTATCTTTAACTCAATTCCTCTAGAATTGACCCCCTCAAGGCCTAGGCTGTTCTTACAGATCCTTTTCTTGTACACAAAGAACAAGAATGGAGTGAGAATGCAACCCTGGTGTAGCCAACAACTGAACACATCCCCTTCACTTAAACACAATTCCTGCAATCACCATATGAGGACTAAATGACCCATAGCAGCTGACTGTAAATACCACACTCTGGTACTCCCTACATCATCCTTCAAATCATGTGCCTTGTTGCACATTTGTAAAATGTTTGCAAAACACATGTAAGCTTCTTTGGTGCACTCCTGTCTTGTTTGGTCTGCTCATGAAAATTTTGCATTGAGTAAGGAGCAGGGGCCGTATTCTATTAAAATCTTAAACTTAGTTTAAGCAAATTGCTCAACCTCGGCCATGCATTTGAATGGAGCAAATACCATCTAAGCACCTTGCTAAGAGGAAAATCGCACTTAAGAACGTAATAGAATACGGCCCCAGGTCTGTGGTACTGTGTCCTTCACAAAACCACACTGTTCCTCTTGGTCGGCTTCTCTAATGACTGTGTAAGCTCCCTTTTCCTGCACCTTGGCATAGACCTTACTAGATATGTTGAGGAGAGTGATTTAATGGTAATTGGTGCACCCTCTCCATTCCCTTCTTAAAAGGGAGGACCACCACACTGGTCTGTCCATTGGTGCTGTCTCCAATTTCCATGCAGTTTGTCATACCTTATGCAATCAAGAGCACCCATCGAAGCCCATTGCTTTCAGGGCCTCTGCCTGGATTACACACACACTAGGAGGCTTTTCATTCTTCAATAGGTTGCCAAAATGCCCTCCATAGTGAGAGTATTCTCTTTGCATGCATGCTCCAAATCAGGTACATCAGAGTCTGCAGTGGGTAGGTTTAAGAACTCTTCAAAATGTTCCTTCCATCTCAAAAATATTTCTGCTTCAGTGACCAGCACCTTCCTGTTTTAGTTTTTGATGGCCTGGTGAGTATGTAGGTTGCCTTGTCAAAGCTTTCAGATTAGCCAGAACACCTTTTTAGTGAGTGATAGATTTAATTTGCTCACTCAATTTCTTCTATGCCTCATGTTTCACTTTGAATATAGCACAAGGGGCAGATCTATGCACTTCTCTTAAGCATGGCCTCAAAGTGTCTGACCTACTGAACATATACACCCTATAACCTGCCCTCATGGCATTACCATGTGCCATCCCAATATGCTTTTGCTTTACATTCTCAATGCTGCAGCCAAAATGCCAGATCGAAATAGGTCCTAATTGGTCTCTATGTCAGAAGCCTGATGGGGCAGTTGGGAATAGTTTTTTATATTCACGCTTTCCATTATGTCATGAGTTTCCTCGTCCCAGAGGGCTTCCTGTCTCACCTGTTTTGGAACACCCTATGTTTTCTGCCCCATGATGGTTTACTTGTATCTGGAGTTTGCTAGTCACTAGGTGGTGAATGGTGTTCAGTTAGCCCTACAATATATTTTACCCTCATGACCAGTACCAGATTCTATGCCAGCTGAAATTATTGCATAATCCATTGATGATGGCTGGCCTACAGTACCATTCCAACTGTCAGGTATACTTCAGGATAACCTTGTTCTTAAGGAAAGTGTTAGCAATGATCAGGCTATTTCCAGGAAAGAAGTCTTTCAGCCTCGTAATACTTTCTAGTATTCCCTTTCAGTGTGGCTTCTGAAAATAACCATCTCCCCACTTCACATAACTGCTTCAACTTACCCATAATTGAAGTCCCCCATTAGCAAAATGAGAATATTGGTTGGGATCTCCTGATCTCCATCTGTGCCTTCAAGGAACATATAATAATAGTCTGTACTATTGTTCAGTTTCCTTTGACACGTATGGCAGTCAAGTCCCTGGCTCTCTTAGATCTGCAGTGGATCAGAGTGACATGCTCACTGATTGGTTTTCACTTGATCATGCTGTCAGCCTCTTGATGACTAAAAAGTCTCCCCATCCCTACGTGGGAAAACATTGTTGGGTCATTTCCAATCTAGTAGTGTTCATCCATGATTTAGGACAATTGAACTGGTACTTTTCCTCTTAGTTAATGTTAGGCCAACTACATCTAGTTGTTGTTTATAGTCTTTTCCATGAATTTCAGCCCCATACTGCTGAATAATCAGCATGTTTCAAGTCTCAATGCCAAAATTCATTGTCTAGGTCATATAATCATTGGTTCTGCTCCTGGTCCAGCCTTAAAACATTTAGTTGAAAGTATTCAGTGGCTGGTGACAAACCAACCAATTGGGTCTGATGAATCCAGAAACATTGGATTGTTCAGTAGCCAACTTATCAATAGTTAACCTGGAAGCACAATGACCATTCAAACCCTAAATATCCTAGTCTATGTCCTATCCTAGACCAGTCCAACATGGAACTCCTGAGCTATACTCTATGTGCTTGTTTTGGTTCAACTTGGTCATCTGCAACAGAAGCTTTCATATCACAGTAGGACCTGGGATACTACAGCCTATCAAATCTCTGAAATCCACCCTTGTGACACAAAGATGCTTTAACCTTTGAGGACATATGTTGTCATTGGCTTATGGATAGTAGTGCAATGAATCTCAGTTGAGGGGGTTCAAATTTGGGCAAATATACAGGGTGGGTCAGAAATAAGGAAACACATTTGAACTCTAACAAAACTTTTATGGAAAAGCAATCAAACTAAACAGTGGTACACACAAAAACACATGTTTATGAAGTATTCAAACCCATAAATATTTTCATGAAAATTGTTGTATGTGTCAACTGTTTTTTTTTTTTTTACAAGTACAGTCTTACAGGTAGTAATAGGCAAACACGTTGGCATGATTCCATTGGCAACCTCCACATTGTGACAATAGGATCCCTGAGTGTGGAAGAGTCCTAGGGTTCATCTCATGCACAATGCCTTAGATTGGACTGCAGAAAAATAAGTCAGCTGGAGTCAAATCCAGAGACCATGCTGGTGAAATAATCGGCCCAAGCTGCCTGATCCACTTGCCAGGAAATCTTCATCTGAGAAATCTCAAATGAGGTGAGCATGATGGGTCGAAGCACTATCGTGAATAAATATGGCAGACTGCTATCACAAAAAGCTGAATGGAAAAATCATTCCTACCATGGCATCTGAAATGAATTGAAATAAAATCTTCATGCAAGATAGGGCTCCGGCTCATTGCGCCTGGTTGATTAGCATGGTCTCTGGATTTGACTCCAGCTGACTTATTTTTCTGCAGCCAGGCATTGTGCATGAGATGAACCGTAGGACTCTTCCACACTCAGGGATTCTATTGTTGTCACAATGTGGAGATTGCCAATGGAATCATGCCAGCAAGTTTGCCTATTACTACCTGTAAGACTGTACTTGTAAAAAAAAAAAACAGTTGAGACATACAACAATTTTCAAGAAAATATTTATGGCTTTGAATACTTCATAAACATGTGTTTTTGTGTGTACCACTGTTTAGTTCGATTGCTTTTCCATAAAAGTTTTGTTAGAGTTCAAATGTGTTTCCTTATTTCTGGCCCACCCTGTATATATAGATTTTTTTAGCCTCTTCTCTGTTGAACACTCCTAATCCTTGATCTTCTGCAGACACAAGTGAGACTTCTCTGGGTGCCCTGGATTTCACATTTGAGATGCATACTCCACCCTGTACCCCACGAAACTTTGAACAAAGAGCAACCCAAGGGGCATCTGGCACGGGTACCATATCTAGTATGGGTCCTCATCGACATTTGTCAAGACGGATGGATAGTACTTATCCTGATTCTGGCTTCACTGATCCTGATGTGGCTGAACCTGAATTGGCAGTAATTCCAGAAAGTCCAAAATCAGAGAGCTCAGCTGAGAAAGAGGTAAGTCTTATTAATTGTTTTATTGGGCATTTGAAAATTATGGCCCCCTTCAGTGTGTCAATTGACTTACCTAATATAGAGCTTGACGGAGGAGATGGAAGTAATAGTGGCAGAGACAAAAAAGCCCCCAGTTGAATATGCATGCATCTCGGCTGTTGAAGTGATTGAGCCCCAAGTGTTCCGTGTGAAACCAGCTTTGGTGGAGCCTTTGATTCAGGTAGTTGAGGTGAAGCCAGTTGTAATTCAACCTTCATCTGCTGGGGACAAAGATAGCCCACTTTCAAACCCCTCCTTTTCCATCTCATCCTCTTCCACTACTCTCAAAGATGATGAGGATATAACGTAAGTTGCCTTTCCAAGTACTATTATTATATGTTTATCAGTTGTGACAGTAATCCTGTTTACTCTAGTTTGGAAGAGAAAGAGGAGGAGGAAGATGACAAGGACGAGGGAGGGGACACAAGATATGGACGATATGGTCGTGTCTTTGATTCTCATCCTCGGCTGAACTGGAAAGTGAAAGAAGGTCCTTCACCAAGCATTGCAGCTCGAATCACAGATCGGGGTAAAAGTCGAGATCCATCTACCATTCTGGGTCAACTCATCTCTTCCTTCCCTGTCCCTTCTCAGGAGAGACTTCTTCCTGTTGGAGGACAGGCACAACATGGTGAGAAAGTGAAATTTTATGAAGAGGAATCTCATAGGACACAAATCCTTCACTTTTCATCCTTTGGATGCATGATGTAGGGAGGCCTGTTGCATTGATGGCCATGCAGGAAGAGTCTGAAGAAGACTCATCTTCATTGTCCCTCCTTGTAGGCCAAGGTGAGGCAGTGATGGATGGTAGACTTGCGTACTCATAAGCAAAATATCTGATAAATTTTTTCATGGGTTGTTATACAGGTTTTTTACCACATATGATACAGTGAAGCCTGTGTAAAATGGAACCTTGATAAGATGAATACCTGTTTAATTTGGAATGCTTCTATGGTCCAGCAAGTTTCTGTATTAGACATATTTTAATGTATTATGTTGTACTTTTTACCCAGACTCTGTTGAAGACAACTTTGATGAATTTGATGGGAAGCTGGGATTGTGCAGTCCTTGGAAAAATGAGAGAGATCTCATAGACCAGGCTCTACCACAGCAAGAACGTCTTTTGCCAATTGGAACAAGGCAACTCTCTGCAACTGCTACTGCTATTGCTGCTGTCACCCCTATCATCCTTCAGGACTCCTTTGAGGTGAATCAGCTATTCTTTATCTGATTATGCTACCTGCTTTCTGTTTCCTGTAAAATAGAGCAAGTTTTAATGTCACACACAGGTGAATATTGGAGAGAAATGGCATGAACCAAAAAGTGGACCAGGAATGAAAAAACTTAAAAAACAAACCAGTGTAGGCAAATGGGAAGGCATGTCCTCTTCCATTGCACCAGAGGATAAGAGAGGTCTTTGTCTTAATTCTTCCAATTTGTTTGTCTATAGAAGTACTATGAACTTCACAGACAAATCTAACTCCAAACTTCATTCACAGATTCCAGAGGTGAGGTTACTTCCACTTCTGCAAAGCAAGGCTCATATCCCCAAGATGTCAGTGGGGCTGAGTGAGTAAAACTTGACATCCTAACCCAGGGGTAACCAAAACATGGCTCATGGGATCCAGCCCATCCACAAGTTTCACAAATATGTTTATCTTATTATTATTATGAGAAGTACCCTTGTTTCCTCCATTCATTTTTTTCTCCCCTTTTCCCTTGAGCTCACAAAAAATCCTGCTGTCCTAAAAGGAAATTGTAGCTCTAGTTACAAATGTACTTGTATATGAAAAGGTGTTTGGCCATACGAGGCTGGAAACATCAACTTTCTCTTGTTTACTTAATTAGAGATGGTAGTGTCCAATCAGGAAAAGCATAAGCTGACTTGAATGTGTTTTATGTAGTATTTTAGTCCTGTGAAAAAGACTATAAACTACTGCTGATGGATGATCTCATTTTTCTTCAAAGTATTTATGTCATGTAGGTATTTATTTTTTCCTGCTTTTGTTAGGATATGGGGAAAAGAAAGATATACCTGGTGGTACAAAAAAAACCTGTTTTGTTTGATGCCTTATGAAATCCATTGTGGATGATCTAGGTTTGTGATATTTTCACATTTGTTGGAAACACCACAAAATTTGTTTTCTGAAACACAAGTTTCACAAACCTAAGTTGTCTGAATAAATATCAACAGTCACCTAAAATAGTGTCATAAAATGGACCTTTCTGCACACAAGGAGGATGAAGTCTCAGGACCACTCGAATGATTTCTCTACCTTGACGTCATAAGTACAGCTTTTTATGCCAGTTCTCATCGTAGTACTATTCTACAATGTGTTGAAACACATCATAGAATAGTACTACTGTCGTACATCATAGCATCAGAATCAATACCACACAGAATACTACAATGAGAACTGTTGTGAAAAAGCGGTATTCATAACCTCAAAGGAGAGAAATCATTAAAGCAGGCCTGAAACTCCATCTACCTTGTGCCTGGGAAGGTCCATTTTATGACTCCACTTTGAGCAACTGTCTATTTATTCAGACAACTTAGGCCCATGAAACATTCATAAACAAATTTTGTGGTGTTTCCAATGTAATATGAAAATATCACCAACCTAGATCATCCACAATGGATTTTATAAGGCGTCAAACACGACACATGTTTTTTACGCCACCCGGTATACATCTGGTGTTGGGCTTCAATTTTTCCCTGGTGTGGCCCTTGGAAGTTTTGATTGCCCCTGTCATGGCTTTATCTAAGATGTTCAGTTTATTTGTTGCATGTCAAACATGTTTACTTTCTCCCTGTCCAAAGTGAAAAAGGAGATGGAACCACCAGTCAGATTCATCATAGACACTTCAGTCGAACAAGTGCAGTGAGACCCAGTGAATTCTGTTCTTCTGCAGTAAGATGTACTGAGTGTGGATACACTCATGAACAGTATTCCAATGAGGAGATGTCTCTCTGCTTGGTCTTACTGACCACATTCATTCATCGAGAACCAGCTTTGGCTGCACCATCCCTTCCAGAGATCATACTCTCACTTGGAAGGTCTTTCTTATCTTCTATCAGTCTGCCCATTGTTCATTTTCTTTTCATCAAAGCTTAATATATTATTTTCTTCTGAAAAAATGTATCTAGAGTGGCTTGGAGTCCAATATATCCATGGCAGAGTGATGGAAGTGTGCACATTCCTGGGAACTCTGTCAGCGTGGCTAAGCAAGCACTACGATGCATTCTTCACCAGCTTTACCCAAACAACATTTTTCTCCAGATCTTCCAGACCTTTGTCACTGGTGAGGGGACTTCTCTTTATTGATATTTCCATGTGCTTGAAGAATGAAAAAAAAAAACAAAAGATCAATGCATCTTTCATGTTCATGTTTTTGGTTATAGAGAAGAAGAGGGTTCAGTTCTTCCGTACCCTCTCACAAGCCTTGTCAGATTTCACTGAGCTTTCCCTGGCATCTCCACTTCAATCAGTCCTTGAGGTATGAAAGGTTCAGAACTTCCATCCATGCCTCTCTCTTTTTGCTGCTCATCTTTATCCTTTTTCTGTTTCCTCTGACATAAAAGCACTACAGTGGGAAGAAGACATTGTCAGCAGGGAATCTTCCAACCCTTCTTTCAAACATTGCAGTGTATTTGGAATCCCTTCCCCTGGAATTAGCCTCTACTGCTCTGACTCCTCTGCTTCCTCTCTTTGAGTCACTCTTTCGAAAAATCCTCAACATCCTTGGAAGCCACCATACTCTCCAGCCAGCCATTTCAATAATTATTGCAGTCCTCAAAATTCCTGGAATCAACACACAAAAGGTGAGTATTTTTCCATTGCTTCTTCACCTCCTCTATTGGCATTAGAGATCAAAGCTCCACTATTATATGTGATGAACATTTTATAATGGATTTAATTCTGGATCATGCAGAGCATCCTAGACCCATTTTCCAAGGTTGTCTGCCAAGCACTGGAATCAGGAGACATTGGATACTACACTTTGATTGATGTCTGCCACCTCTGCAACAGAGCCTTTGCACGTGTGAGTCACAGAATCAAACAAAGCCGTGGACATCCATTTTATAAGGGCTGAAAATATACTAGATAAATCAACTGGTAGAATGATCAAGTTTTATTCACAATAAACATCTTAATCACTATTAACACTATTTTCAAGAATTGCTCATATTTCTGCTAGAAGGGATTCTATATACTTGCATAATGGTGTAGGAATTTTTTATTCCAGTATTTTTACAATATGGTATTGCAATCTGCATTATTGTGGCTTGATGACATTTAGACACATCCACTATCAGGAATATGAGGGTTGCTTGGTAAGTAATGCACAATGATTTTTTAAACTATATGTATGCTTGCTAGGCCTGATTTAAGATTTTCTGCATAAGTGATGAACTTTCCTGCCAAAAATTCACAAGTTTGACAAATATCTGCTGGGAGACACCAGCAGGAGACATGTTCAAAGTGGCTGCCACACTTCAGGTGTGTGAGAAGCAGAGAGCAGTAATTGAATTCCCTTAGTTGAAAGGGTGTAAAGCCTGCAGATATCCACTGCCGCTGGAAAGTTTTTTATAGTGACACCTGCGTTGATGACAGCATTGTCAGACAATGGGTGAGTTGCTTCACATCTGGAGAGATGAGGGTTAAAGACAAGGCGCCTTTGGGGCAGCCCATCACTGCCACCATTGACAAGAGCATCAAGAAGGTGGTTGAGCAATGGGTGTATCACCAGTTGGGTGCCATGCCAATTGGTGGTCTGGACGTGGCACTGTCCGACTACAACCTCTTCAGACCCATGAATGAAGACCACATAGGACATCACTTTGAGAATGATAAGGATGTGAAGAATGTAGTTTGAAGGTGACTCCGTCACCAGGGCAAGAGCTTCTATTGGGATGGAATTTATACCCTTGTAAAATTTTTGGAAAAGGGCATTGCCCGTTATGGTGACTATGTTGAAAAATAGGTGGTTCATCGCAAAGCCCTGTTGGACATTACTTGTTAATTTTATGTAATAAAATCAATGGAGAGTGAGAAAAAAATTAATGTGCATTACTTTCCGAGCGACCCTCGTATTTTAACAGCCACATATCTCTCAATCTGACTTTCAGTTGCTTTAGCTTTGGATGGTCTGATTGCATGCAGCCTTTGCTAATGCCTCTTGGGTTCAATGTTTGGAAGAAATTCCATCAAGATTTGAACTGGTATTGAAGGGATTAATATCCCAAGAAGACTTGTGACTTCATTTAATTTATGGATACTATTGTCTTCCCTAGATTTTGAGGAACAGGTTGATTAAACTTTGATTAAGCTATTAAATGAAAGGGAATCTATTAATGTTTTAGGATATAATAGAAGCCCTAGTTTCGCTGGTTTTTGTTTCAGGTGACTGATGCTTGTCATTTGCATCTCTTGATAGGAACGAGATCGATTGCTGCTGACACGTTCAGTTGTTCTGCTGTTAGCCCAGGCACTACGTTTCAAAGTCACGCTTCCACCGTCCAGTTTCCTCATCCTTGTCCAGATGGTACTATCAGATGCAGGAGGCTCTTTCCCACCTGAAGTTCTTGTAAAAATTCCTTCAGGCATGCCAGAAGGTTCACTGCCTATGGGTCCCTTCAACACGTGTGCTGCTGAATGTCTTCGGGGCCATCTCACTGACCTCATCGATTTTGTCACTGATGTCCACACTATCAGCAAAATCAAAGTCTTTTATCATTTAGTTCCTCCAGGCAGAAAGACTGCATTCATATGATTTCCTGTCTGGTAGTTACAGTTTTTTTTTGTTCGACTTAGAGCATGGTGGGGAGTGTGCAGCAGAGTAAAGAAGGACGAGCTTGCCCAAAAGCCCATGATGTGGATCGTGATGCCCTTGGAGGAATCTTGAAGTCTGGCCTGGCTCAATTCCTTGCACTGGAGATTATGCGAGGAAACACAAGAGAGAATCGAGCTGTCACACGTCTTTTGCCTTGGCTCTCTCACACTCCTTCTCTCGTTCAGCAAGGGTACACAGTCTCCTCAAATGAGGGATGGGTATATAAAGGAAGAAAACAAGGTCATCAGCATTATGTTTTGCAGGCCAAGGGAGTTTGTGGATTGTGTGGCACACATCCGGCTGTTATCATGGATCTTACTGGGGGCTATTAGAGGAGGACCAGGGAAGATTCAGCCTCTGACGTTAGAATCTTCATGTCACCTTGCTGATCACATCCAGGTCATCCTAGCAGGATTCCCTGAACAGGCCAAGGCTTCTGTCATCCATATGTCATCTCTCTTTCATGCTTTCATCCTCTGCCAGGTTCTCTACTCCATCCATGCCCTCCTTGTCTTGTTCTGTTTCACACTGGTGATGAGTTGAGTTGTTTTCTGCCAGCTATGGACATTGTATGTTGAGCAACTTGGTAGTACACCAACTGGTGGAACTGGGGACCGAGATCTGGCATCTAATGCAGCTGCCACTTTGACTGATTTTTGGGCAAAAGTGACCCCTGCTCTTCTGCAACTCATTTCACATTCAAAAGTGGTAAGTTTTCTCTACCCTTTTTATCTTTTACAAGTTCATCACTTCAATAAGGAATTCCATATCAGTTTGCTTGAATACTCACTCCACTCTTTAGTCATGAGAGACGATCAGTCCAACTTAGCAGTCCTCCCTCTCTTTCCCCCTTGAAAACCCTGTCTCTTAGGAGGAACTTCAGGTATCAGTGCTTCCTCTCTTGCCTCTCGCTGTCCTCATATGTTCTGTGTTCATGTCCAGTGGATGTCCCTCTCCAGTCTTCTGATCACTTTTCCTGTCCATGAATCTCATGTATAGAGTGCACTGTCACTGTCATTTGACTGGAGCTAGTTAGTATTATGCACTCACTTGGATGGTAGCATCATTAGTGGCATACTGGATGAGCACTAAGTAGTCAAAATGGCTAATATAAACTAAAAGTTTGTTGCATTGAGTGTATGATGAATGAAAGGAGCACAAGCTGTGGGGAGATTCATATTGAAAGCCTAGCAAAATTGTTTATTTTCTATGTTTTAGATGCATAAAATATGCTACTCGCAGATCTTTTCTCATGGGGAAGCATTTCAGATATAAGTCAAATTTTAGGACTTAGTCTTGTAAGAGTATTTTGCACAAGAAATACATTTTTATATTGGAAACATTATGCCTGCTGGTGCAAATGATAGCCAAATATCCAGAGATTATGAGCTTGCACTATCTCATCGAATTATGCACCCTAGCAAAAATAGAAACTCCAGCCCAGTACATTGTCCCAGTTAACACACAAGGATATTAATGTTTTGTAATATTTGAACTAATCATCGAAAATACCTTTAATTTTCACCAGATAGTTTTATTTTATTTTATCACCAGATAGTAAATTTTATTCTTCAAAGTTTGCAGTCTATTTATTGCTGTAGTTCTTAAGATACAACTGGAAACAGTGGAGGAATTATGCACAATTTTAAATGGCAGAAGGTACATTTCCTAAATTGAACAATCAGGTCTTCTAAAGGGAAGTATTTGTAATTGGCTGGTGGTTTCTATCATTTTGGCCAGTGTGTGTATGAATTTGAGATATTACAGGTAATATATTATGAATCTCACATGATTACAATTTTGGGAAACCCATATTACTTCATTTATATTTCTTCAGAACTCAAGGGTTCTTGGTGATTTTTTCTCTTTTGGTCAAAAGTTCAATATAGGTAGGATTCTATTGTGAGTTGGGTGAATTCCATGAAAATGGGTATGGATAATGAGCAAAGGTTTTAAATACAGCCCAGGTTGGAACTTGAGTCCCCCCCCCCTGGTTTGTATTTAAAATGTTTTGACTTCCCTTCTCCATTAGTGAGAGGAGAATGCAAACCCTGGAAAAAAAATTATAACTATACCTTATAAGGCTAAAACATTCTGGAAAACATCAGGTGAAACCATGGTAGCCATGTCCTGGAGAGGTACTCTAGTAAGAGTACCAATTTATCCAGATGTCAAAAGTGCAATGAATGAATCAATTATTAATATGAATGCTTGAATTACCTTTAAAATAAGGTTATTAATAGAGTTTCATGTAGTTGTTTCAATAATACTCATATTTTATTATTTTTAATTCTGGTAACATAGTAGATAATGGTAATCACTCAGACAGGATAAAATTGTTCATTAAAGTCACTGGATTCCTGGATTTGTGTCCCTTCACTTGGAAGCACATCTGCAATTTGAGTGCAGAATCTATAATATGATATGATCATATCAGATGCAAGAGACTCAATGCCCAGAATTGTACCATTACTTTGAAACACTTACTAACCCTCCTCCCTGTAATATCACCCACTCCAAAGAACCCCTTGCCTTGATGGGCCCCATTTTGGCAAGAATCATTACTCCTGGTTCCCTGGGTTCAGCCTTTACCACCAGGATTCTTTAACATTTAGGACACAGTTTTTTCAATTGTGCCCTTTAGACCTAGAAGGTTCTGGCCAAAGTATCCAAAATATTTGCTTCAAATGTTTTGTATTGTTTTATGTTAATGGGTGTTAATCATTATTTTAAAAAAAAAACAAATCAGTATTTGGATACTGATATGGTCCAATGTGATAATTTTATCAGCTCAGACCCTGTAAATTGCATTGTGACAATGTGGGACAGAAGGAAAGACCTTATATCAGTTCTGTTCTGCTAACATGGCACTTCAAGTGGTAAGACCCCACATCTTGTGGTGGGAATGCTGTTTGCTTGGGGGTTTCTCTTCCCAAGCATGGTAGAGCTTGCCCCACAAGCACACCAGGGCTTGCACTTGATAATAAAAACCTGACTAAGATGGTTTCAAACCCAGACTACCTGCCACAGAAGCTAAAGGAACTCCCAATCAAGCCACTCACTTTCACTATCTGTACACTAGTTTGTCTACTTTTGCTTCTGTGTACTGAACACAACAACACTACTCAATAAAATTATTTTATACTACTTAACATCATTGCTGCCTTCCATAACTTTCAGCATTATAAGGTATACTGAGCAGTAAATCCATTTGCATTCAAGTTTAAAATATGCCTCATAGATCAAGAGAGACATTTTAACTTCTTTCAATCCACATTTCCTCAGTTTGAGCAATATACATGTGACATAAATTAAAATCCGAGTATCCTCAGAGTCTACGCAATTGAAATTCAGTTTTTAATTCAGTTTTCATGGCATTTCAAAAATACTTTGCATCACTTCAGTGATGCATGGTATGGTATTCATGTGTTCACACAGTATAGAATTTTATTTCCTTTGATTGTTGTCATGATTAAAATAGTGATAACATCACTATCAGAATACGAACAAGAAGGACATTAGTATTTGAGCTTATCCAGCTATTTTTGAAGCTGTTTGAAAGTTGAAGTCAATATGCTGTCCCACTTCAAATTGTTCCACTTCAAATTATTGGCATGTGGAGTGCATGAACAAAAAGCCCAGACCAGGATGCTATATAAAGATGTGCAATAAAGCCCTTCCTGGGCATATGGATTTGATTCAGCACAGTTAAAGCCACTCAGTGGTTCTTCTGATTGAAATATCTCAGGTGTATATGGTTTATAATTGTAATGTTAGGCAATCAAATGCTGTAAGCAGTCCTGTTTCTTGTATGGTTATGATTGGAAGTGGAAGTAGTATGAATCACAGGGTAGAAGTGACAAAAAGTGTCCTATGTATTTCTGATGCACTCGCCCTTGCTAAATACCTACATAAGCCACTGCTGTCTGTGATTCAGATTGACTGGCTCATAATTTGATATAATATTTAAAATAAACATTTCTGCAAAGCTTTCCAAATTCAATATGTTGCACCTCAAAATGCAGAATGCACTCACATTCAGGGTACCATGGTACACGATTGCAAGGCATGGCTTGAGATGGCAGTCTCAAGATGAGCATACAATAATGAAGGAAAATATTCCATTGAGGAACATATTTGCTTCTTGCATGGCAAGTAGTTCTCACATGGGGGGGGGGGAGTGTTAGGAAAGAACTGCTTTAAGGCAAGTGATAATGAGCCATCAGTTTGGACTTAATGGAAGGTGTATCAATATTTGTGTCTATCTTATTTTTGAATGTGGCTGAGTTACATATGGTTTGAAATAAATTTGGAATACCTATAATGGTTTATCTTGCTCTTATTTCCCTTACTTCTGCATAGCATGATTGTCTCAAAGTGTGCTTAGAATCGATGGGGTGAAGCATTGTCAGGTGCCATTGTGTGTGACGCCTGTACTGTGTCTGTTGCCATTTACATGAATGTGGCATAATGGACAGTAGGTCTCTTGTGACTTAGAATGTGTGGCTGTCCTGTGACTTGTGCTCTCTTTGCAGAACAAGCTTTACCTTTCACAAGACTGCAGTTTATAGGAAGTCAGTCATCATCAGATATAGGGAAATCATTGAAGAGTCTCATTATAATACTTGATATATGTTTTGATTACCACTAAAGTCATTGAGTTTCAGTGATGAAACTAATGAATTGTATGCAGCTGAGTGAGATGGTGAATCTGCACTTTTTGAACCTGATGGAATCTCTCCAAGAATGTCGTTCCTTGACACTTAGCAAACTCCTCCCACTCTGGACCCCTGTGTTCTATGCACATAATGCACAGGTTGGTTCTGGTTGAGTCCTCCCCTCTCAAACCTCATAGAAAGAGATCTATGCATGAAAATTTACTATCTTTCTTCCTTACTAGGTTCCAGGTCATCTTCAGGTGCGCCTTCAGGGCTGTCAGGCATGGCCAATGCCTGAAGGAACTGGTACTCCACAACATCTTGCTGAAGGGATTCAGCATCTACAGGTCAAATTGGCCCAAATTGAAATGCAGTCTTCAGCTGCCACTCAATTCTATTCCTCTCCTTAAACTTGCCCTCTTGGAAGGGGGACAAGGATTCCATAGGTTCATATTTTCAAGTGGGTGCTCCTTTATGGGAAACACAGACTTATTATTAAACTCAGAATCTTGTATGGTATGTATTCTTGCCAAATTCACTGATAAACTTAGATACAGAGATATTGTGCTGAATATATTGTATAAAATGGTGCTTCACTAATCCCTTGACTTATCAGAAATTTGATATTGCATTTAATATTCAATGTTTGAAAGTGAAGTTTTTGTTGTTCTTCTAGAATATGTTGTTTTTCAACATTAGCAACAAGAATTCATATTAAATAAAAATTAAAATATTCAAAACAAAATCAAGAATTCATTCATTTTTCTATGCTGTCTTGTCTCTTGTCCTGTCTTGACTCAAAAGTACATTAACCCCTTATAATGCCATTGTGACAGTATCAGTCACAAATAAAACCTTCCAGCTATATGATCAGCATTATAAGAATTAAGATGGCAAGGAGAGACAAAAAGACAGCTGATTTACAACAAAGAACTTGAAACCAAGAAGGAAATTTGATTTGATTACTGAACAGCTGAAGCTGATATGAAGTGTAGAAAGGCAAACTCATTTTTACATGGCTAATTTCTATTCCATTTAATTTAAAAGATAATATGTAATAGTAAATGAAAAAAAAAGTTGCAAAAATGAATGGGTCATTGAAAACTGAAATTAGAGAGCTTTTACTAGATATTTAAAAATATATATACTTTTGTTATACCCTATGCATCAATTTTCATAGTCAAGTTTATGTTGAAAAAAAAAAGTTTTTATCTCAGAGCATATAAAAGTCTCATCTGTTTCCCTTGAATATTACAGGAGATATGAATTCTCAGAAGTTCATTGTGACTCATGAAATGTGATGTATAGTAACAGTATGTAGTACTTGTGTGACTTTCTCCTCCCATCACAAATTTACATTCTCCTGATCTCAGAAACTCTTGTTCCCTTACTCTGGAAGCAACATTGATCTTGAAATATATGTTATCAATGTATGTATTGTTGTGCCATTTATTTCGTTCTGTTGAATAGGATTCTTCTTTAATGGTTGTGAGAGGATAAATGGCAGGGGAGGGAGCACACAGAGCTCCCTAGAATCCTGTTCTTAACCCCTGGCATTTGTGACTGAGAGGGGTTCAGGTTTTTTTCAAAGTGATTCTTATTATACTTTGCCAATCCCAACTGACTTTCTTTATTCTTGAGAGGTGCAGGTTTAGCTGAAACTTAAACAGCCCCTTCCTGATAACTGGGATATACAAACAAAGCATACAAAAAGCAGATTGATTAGTGTGGAAATATCACACAGAAACTTTCATTACTGGATGCCACTCCCCTGAATTACTAGGGCCTCAGAGAGACTTGACAAAGGAAAAATTTTAATGAAAAAGGTTTTGTTGCCGCACCTTACCCCCAAGCAGGTCTATAGTGCAAAGGAAGGAGATTGTGGGCATTGCCTGGTGGCACTGCTCCTCATTTATGATTCTTTCCACTTTTAACCTGCACTGCACTGCATGCCTTATAGTGAGAGTGAGTAAACATGCATGGGCTATACAAAAAAAAAACTAAACCAAGCAAAAAGAGAACTGAGTCATGCACAATAATTAAAAGTACAGGAAAGCCAATGTAGGGAAGAAGACACTTTGGAGATGTGCAAGTCACAAGTATTTTGAAGAAATAGTCAAGAAGACTCTCAAAAACCATAAGTAACTTATAGTATGAAATTAACAATCACAAAACCTGGATTCAAGCACTTTAGGAAACCAATGGCATCTATTGCAAACAAAAAGAAACTGAGGGTCTCAAATGCCAATAAAAAAGAGTAATACTTTATGCCTTCTGGATAGGGATTCTGTGTGGAGGGTTGAAGTCTTCATGGTATTTTGGAAAATGTTGAGGTATTTTGAATTTACAGGGGATTTACTGAGCTTTCAACTATCTGGTGTTCAGTATTCATTGTGAGCTGCAAATCCAGCATCAGTTGGGATTGGGTACTCGGCCATGAAGATCCATTGTGATTACAGATTACTCTCTGTGGTTTTGGTAAAGCAATTTTCTGCAGTTTTGAATGGCGATTTTGCATTTCTGGATCCTAGTGGGTGTTTCAGTTGCATTTTAGATTCCTACCTGAGGAATTGGTAGTTTCTCTATATCAGCCAATATAGGGTTGACGATATCAATACTTTCAAAATCTATATTGCTCACCCCTAGCTATAGCAGTAGTTCTCACAAAAGCCAAGCTTACCATAAGTTAGGTTTAAATACTTGTACCATATGGACTGCAGGATGGAATCAGGTATTAGGAATTTGAGTGCTCCTGAGTTATCTGGGATTTCTACCAAATCAAAGGCTTTCTCACCCTCCACAAAATCAAGACATGGTGGTCTCCTATATTATGGTGATTTTTTTATTATCAGTGAATGGTATTTAGAAACTGACCGTTGAGAATCCAATTTAGATACCCTAGATCTAATTGATTTTTATTGAGTACTCATTTGATTCTGTTATTCAGGATTTTAGTTAAGAGCTTGTAGGGAAGAGACAGATGATCTATAGGCCTGTAATCTTTCTGGTCTCCCTTTTCATGCAATGAGATCATTGCATTCATTCATGCTGAGGGGATTTGTTGTTTCTGGAGATAGAGCGTGTAGATCTTTGCCACCTGTTTATGAGCTGCTTCTCCTCCATCTTCAATTATGTTGACCGTTAAGTAGCTGTCTTTGGATGCATTGCCTCTCTTCATTCCCTTCTTCACTTCTTCCATGATCATAGATTCTGCCTTCTCTTTGCTAGCATCAAGACTTGAATCCTGCCCTCATTCATCTTCATTGGTGTTGAGGATCTAGTAAACTCTAGCTCATTTCAAACTACTGGTTCCTCTACCCCAGCGGTACTCAAACTTTATGAGCTGGGGGCTGCATACGGATGTGACCAACCTTGCGGGGGCCGCACTTAAAAGAAAAATACTAGTAAGAATAAAAGGAAATCCAGTCAACCCAAATATCACTCATGCAATGGTATTTATTAGCAAAACGAAGACCGAAGACTTACATGCGGCCCGCGGGCCGCAGTTTGAGTACTGCTGCTCTACCCTTTCATTTTCCATTTGACAGTGTTGATGCTTTAGCCTTTTATCACTGCATCTAACAGGTTAGTTTTGAGGTGTCTTATTTCTTCTCTCTGCTCCTTGGATGGTTTCGCAGAGTTCTACATACTCATAGATTCAAGATTTTCTGGTACTTTCGGTTTCTTCTCTCCTCCATTGGATCTTCTTCCTTGGACAATTTTTCTCCTTCGGCTTCCTCTGCTATCTACTAGTTGTTTCAAGAGCAGCTTTATGGAGTGTATTGGTGAATTTTTCTGTCAGAACCTCACTTCAGTGCCTTCTGCAGCATTCAGGGTTTCGTAGTTATATTTCACATTGATTTGGAATTCACTGATCATATCTCTTCAACAGGGAAGTTGACATTGATTGGTTTTCATATCAGCTTCAGTCTTACAAGTCTGATTTAACCCCATGTTGTGGATCATTGGCTCCAGTGGCGTAGCCAGGTTTACGTCAATGGGGAGCTAAGCGAAACGTTGGGGGGGCTGAAGCCCCCCCCCCCCCCCTCGCTACGCCATTGATTGGCTCCAAGATTAGAAGGAAAAGGTTGGGCTCTGAGAAGGTAAATAGGTAACGTCTTCATCGAAGGTGTTTTTTCCCTTAATAGTAATCAGCAAAACGTAGACCTACGATCTTGTCAAAATGTCAGCTTTTCTCTTGTGTAATTCAGGTACATGTATTTCTCTTGCATTAAACTTGTTTGTGTGTAATTGCCACTGTGACGTTACAGCGAGACAACCATGCTGTTGCCTCGAAGTTTCGAACTTGGCACCCTATTATGTTCACTCACTATCACAGTGTAAGACTGTCTCCCACCTTATGAAAGTAATACTGACCTGTACGTTCATTGCGCAATATCACTGTCTTGCCATTGCTTGTTGATGAGTTGATTTTCTTACTTCCCTTTTTCGACCTTGATTCTCGTTTTTTTTTTGCGTTCCAATTTTATTGATCTCATAAAGGAATATGCTATAGTTCTGTTCGATCAAAAGAATCTTCGCCTTTAAGATTTCCTTGCATTTTTTATGAAGGTGAAGTGTAAAGGTGATGACATTAATTTGAGTTTGCGCTGGGTCATGAATTCAAAGCAGGTCATTTTGCTGAGTCTGATTGGTATCGTGTGCATGCCATTGCTCGTGTCTGTCTTTCGTCGGTTTCTCACATCGTCAGTGATTCACGTGCAAGCCGCCAGCAGAGAAGGAATGTATTCCATTGCCTACGTGACGGTCCCGAACGAAGACGTCGGGAAGAAGATCGCTCATGGCCTGGTGAAAGGGAAGCTTGCGGCTTGCGTCAATCTCATCCCCAAGATCACTTCTATCTATGAATGGCAAGGAAAGATGGAAGAAGACTCTGAGATCCTCCTCATGATTAAGACCAGGACTTCTCGCCTGGATGAACTGACTTCGTTCGTGAAGGCCAATCATCCCTACGAGGTGTGTGAGGTTATCACCACCCCGATTGCCTCTGGGAATCCTCAGTATCTGGAATGGATCGGGCAAATCGTCCCCGACCCTTCCTAAATCTTCTGCCCTTGTCTGTTATATCTTTTCTTCTTGATAAAGAAAGGTATTTGAAATATAACAAAGGTCTATTTTCTGTCGTTCAGCCCGTTTTATTCTCGAATCCTCCCGGATGAAACAGGACATTCCGAATGGGAATGACAGGCATCACCAGTCGTGGACTCATCGTTTATTCATTGTCTCCGTGGAGAACATGGGTCAGGATTGGAGAAGTGAGGGAGGAATGGCGGGATGATCCATGAAGGTCAAGGTCATTCACTGAGATATGCTGTCAGTCCGATTCCGAGCTCCCTACCTTTAATATGGGGATACAGCAACGCAGAACAAGGAAGTCTGAGAATGAACGTACATTTTCATTGTGATTTCAAAAAGGTGAAGGACCAACGTCAACTATTTCCGTAATTAATATATTCTCCCTACGGTCGATCCCTTTTGAGATTTTCAATATGGAACCCAAGCAGCACGTAGGTGATGGGCCACTACTACATTTGGGGAAGAGAGCTGGTGGCCCACCAACTTCATTGGGTTGTGGGCCACGTGGTACATGTCCTACTAGCCAGCACTGGCCCGCCACCTCCCAGGCCGCTAAAGGGCCAGCATATTACCAGTTAGCTCGTTTGTGGTGTACCACCAACTGGGGAGGGCCCTAATGCCTTCATGTATATCCAATTAAGCTATTTAAACTAACCATGCGCCAACCATATGCCAGTGATGGCCCAACTACGGCTTATATACGCGTCGACGAAAAGCCATCGATGGTCCGATGAAAAATTGTTGACTGGGCAGCCCGGCTTTCGGTTTCCAACGTTCGGAAGAGAAAACACGCGAAGGAGATGGAGAAGAGGGGACCGAAGAGGATCCGATTTTCGGCTGTCGATTCCTTTGACATTGATGTCATACGTCAGGAATTATACGCGATGTACGCGGAAACCAAGTACCCGACCTCTAATTAGTGGAGTGAAAGAATCACAAGCTCAAACATGGTAATGTCATATATTTTTTTAGTGATGGAATAAATATTCAGGAGCGTAGTTCTGGTGGAGATTTGCACCAGTTGAGCAATGAATGACACCAGAACTTTCTTGTCCACTCCCAGGTGTTGGTTGAATTATCATTTAACAAATTTAAATCCAGTCCTGTTGCGAAGCAAGGGCATATTGGCCACTCTCTACAGCAAAGTTGATCCACAGATTCATAGGGATTTGCGGTTCCATCCCTACCCATCCATGGGTCTGTTCACGGTGTCGGATGTGACATCCGGAGTAATTTTTTTGGTATACATGTAATTAACTATATTATGGCTGACAAATCAGCATATATATTCTGTAACAATTTGCTTTGGGTGGTGACTGAAAACTCCATAATCCAAAGTCTTGCACTCTCTCTTATGTTAGAGGTGTACCTATGTGCAAAGGAAAGTGTCGGACGTGACATTTCGTGAACCTCAAGTTTACGTCACTTACGCTAATGTTCACATATCCGTCATCGAGCGGATCCTAATAATTTAGCTTCATGTCCATTCTATAGATGGAATGAACGCCTGGAATTAGTGTAAGTCACCCCAAGATGAGAACAGTTGAAATAGAAAATAAGCCTATTTTGTGATGGTGTCGGATGTGACAGGAAAGTGTCGGA